TTGGTCAAATCACGCTCACCCTAGCTGATCTGCTGTGAATAATCTGTTGATCGTAAAGACCGTTTTGAAGCTGACAAGCAGGAGAAATGGAGAAGGAAACTGAATTAACACGTATGACCTTCATGTGCTGTCGAACTGTTCTCAGTACCAGGTCCTCTGACTTCCTGCAAAGATTCAGTTTCTAAGCAGCAGTCTGAAGAAGGATTGTTCGATTGTTACTGAATGAAAATGTAATTTAGCGGATTCACTCCTGTGTTTAAATGCGGTTGTCACTCTTGAAACTTTACAGTGTGTACATAACTTATAGACTTTACAATACAGAGTGAACTCAGACTCACACTTTGCTTGTAAACATCACCGAAAGGAAAATGTAGATACAAAGAGACAGTATGAGTGACATGTAAACCAACCACAGTTATTTCTTAATGCGGTGTTGGGTTTAATGGGTTGGGTTTAATTGAAATGTTATGCAATGCTTAATTATTTTATTATCCATCTTTATTCAATATCTGTTTCACTGTTCACAATTTGTGTGAAACTACCGGTAATATATTATTATTATTATTATTATTATTATTATTATTGAAATACAACAAAACTACATTTTCTTTTATACTAAAGTCTATGGAGGTTCATTTTTCAAGTATGTGCAATACAGAATGCAGTACATGGCTCTCTCTGCTGGTCACAAGATGAGCTAATCTTCACTTTTTTCTTTACTGCGTTGATGATTATGAGTTTTGTGGACCAACTGAAAGAGACCACTGTTATGCAATGAAGTCAATTTCACATGAGTCACAGGAATTATTTTGAGATCTAGATAAAATGTTTAACAAAATCTTAACAAAAAAGGGCTTTGTGCACTTTGCTCTTGGTAAACTTTTAAAAGAAAAATGCTTTTTCATTCTTGGTCTTGAGTTGAGTTTTGTTCCTGTGTTAATGTGATGCTAATATATGTAAACATTAACAGACAATGTTTTGGATATTCAGTTATCAGTGCTTTTATCTTGTCACTGCAGGTGTTGATGCTGTAAATAAACTGGAGAATTTCCTGCCTCCTGTAAGTATCATGTGTGTGTGTATACATCCCCACAGTGAGGCATCTTGATGTGTGGGGAGGAGGAGTTCATCAGCACTGACAGCTTTGATGTATATATTTATATATGGTGAAAGTCAGAAAAGCGTCCTCTGATTTGTCACTGATGGAGAAAATCAAAAAAGCGTCCTCTGATTTGTCACTGAAGTTGTTTGATGATTTCCTCTGTTGTGTCTAATAAGGTAATAGCGAGTGTGATTGGAGGGTGTTGGGCCTCTTTCTCTCTCATTAAGGGGGCTGAGAGGATGCCTGCACTTCTGTATCATCAGAGCGGAGAAGCTTGTACTGGGTGTTGAGTTGATCATGCTGAGGATGAGGATGATGGGGAGATGCTTGACTCTCATTTTACTGATTTCAGTGGTAATACTCACCACAACTGGTAAGTACATTTGAAATCAAAAAAGTTATTTTTTGAAGGGGTCGGGATTGTGTTCTTTAGTCACTTAAAATGAAACTGTACTGTAATATGTTGTTTTAGATGACAGGGTAATTGCATTTGCACAGTATGTTGAATTTGATCCTGTATTGCTTAGCAGGCAGTTTATCTCTCTCTATTATTTCTCTCTCTCATGGAGTCTCAAAATAATGTTAATATTCATTATAAGCACATGTCTCGGTCCCTCGAGTTGGATGGCAGTGAAATTCATCGCACATTTGGAGTCACTAGACTAGAGTATCTACGACGATACTCTGATGTGATAAACATTCATTTGGAAATATCACTGACAGACATGTTATTTTGAGTCAGTCCCATTAATATTTTTTACCAAAGAAAATTTAATCATTCCTTGATTAATATATATTATGTTGTGGGGAGTCTGAAATATTAAAATTGACATCATCGTTTTGTGTTCCACAAAAATTAATTTCTTGTTCCTGCTTAAATATATATTTATACACACACACACACAAAATCTGGCATAAAGTGAGACAGTAATTTTCAATAGAAGTGAATGAGGGTCAAGCTGTAAACCTTAAATACTAAACAATGTGTGTTAACATGATTTTAGTGTAAAAATTTTTGTTAACATACCAAAAATGATGTTGATTGAGCTCAACTTGAAATCGGAATATTCATTTAAATATTCAGACATATGTGTCCCAATTTGTGATTCTTAAACTCTCTCATCCCTTCATCTCGCTCTCATTGTCAATTTTCAGACAGTGTGAATGTGAGGTTGGTTGGTGGTCACAGTCGCTGTGTTGGTAGAGTGGAGGTTCTTCATAGAGGTCCGTGGGGAACAGTGTGTGACGAGGAATGGGATTTGCCTGATGCTGCAGTGGTGTGTAGAGAGCTGGACTGTGGAGAACCTGTAGATGCTCTGGGTGATGCTCATTTTGGACCAGGATCAGGACCAATCTGGATGACTTTTGTCTTGTGTACTGGATCAGAGTCCACATTAAAGAACTGTGGGTCATTTGGATGGGGTAAAAATAACTGTGATCATTCTAAAGATGCTGGAGTCATCTGCTCAGGTAAAGTATTTTACATATTTTTTATTCATATCTATATAAGAGTTTTGTGCTTCCATACTGACTTCTAAAGAAGTTGATTTAAAAATGTTGACAATAATAAATAGTTTTCCTTTTGTATTTTTATATTATTTATTTATTCAAAGACTAAAATGATGTATAAATCATGATCTTGAGGATCCATAAAAGTTTTTTTTTGTTTTTTGTTTTTTTACTAATCTATGTTTTTTTTAATCTGTGTCCTTTCAGAAGTCAGGCTGGTTGGAGGTTCTCGCTGCTCTGGGAGGTTAGAGATACTTCATGATCAGACGTGGATGTCAGTGTGTGACGCTGCCTTTGACCAGCAGGATGCAGAGGTTGTGTGTAGAGAGCTGGACTGTGGGGCTCCTGTACAGGTGCTGGGAGCAGCTGCTTTTGGAAAAGGAGGCGCTCAGATGTGGACACAAGAGATTCAGTGCAGAGGAAATGAATCTCAGATTCACCTCTGTTCAACATCACCATCAGTCAAAAGCAACTGTTCTCAGAAACACATCATTGGTTTGCTGTGTGCTGGTAAGAGTTCACAGTACAAAAGACCTTAGTCTGGGTTGGGCATAATTAATGTTTGAGGAATGACAGGAATCTATGTTAAATTCAGTATGGCGTCTAAACTGATTAAGGTCTAGAGCATATTTTATTTTATTGTCAAATTTTAAATGGACTATTAATTTTTCTATTGCTCTCTCTTGCAATTAAAGACAAAATAAATGTGAGGTTGGTTGGTGGCCACAGTCGCTGTGCTGGTAGAGTGGAGCTTCTTCATAGAGGTCAGTGGGAAACAGTGTGTGACGCTGGTTGGGATTTGGCTGATGCTGCAGTGGTGTGTAGAGAGCTGGACTGTGGAGAACCTGTAGATGTTCAGGGTGATGCTAATTTTGGATCAGGATCAGGACGAAGCTGGATAAAAAATGCATTGTGTACTGGATCTGAGTCCTCACTTAAGAATTGTGGATTTGTACCATTGCTTTATCATGACAGCTGTCTTGATAAAAATGCTCAAGTCATTTGTTCAGGTAAGCTAAGAATCCTTTTATAGTACAAAACAGTTGCACCAAATACACTTGTAATGTAATTTTCCACCTTCTCTTTGACCATACATATTTTTGGCCTTGTTAAAAATAAACTTCAGCAGCTTGTTTCTAACTCTATGTTCTAATGTAATAAATGTAGCAGGTACAACAAATGACACTGCAAGATTTGGTGGAATTCCCCACATTTTACTGATAAATTTAGTTTTTATGTTGCTTAGGAATAGTAGTATATATTCTATTTCCTCCTTATTACCTCACTGTGACTGGGCAGACCAATTTTCTTACAAACAGACATGTTTTCCAACAAATAGACATGACATGAGATCATTGACATGAAAATGTGGCTGGTCATGTGTATTCAGATATCTCACATACATAGTAAATATCTATTTTCAGAGGATGAAGAAAAATATGATTTTCAATAATGTTTTTTTTTTTTTTTTTTTTACATTTCTTATGATTGGTATATGAATCAATATTGATTCATATACCAGTCAATATACTGTAACCAGTCAACTTAAATGTTGCTCTTTCAGAAGTCAGGCTGGTTGGAGGTTCTCGCTGCTCTGGGAGGTTAGAGATACTTCATGATCAGACGTGGATGTCAGTGTGTGACGCTGCCTTTGACCAGCAGGATGCAGAGGTTGTGTGTAGAGAGCTGGACTGTGGGGCTCCTGTACAGGTGCTGGGAGCAGCTGCTTTTGACAAAGGAGACGCTCAGATGTGGACACAAGAGATTCAGTGCAGAGGAAATGAGTCTCAGATTCACCTCTGTCCAACATCACAATCACACGAAAACAATAGTTCCCATGATGTTGGTCTGGTGTGTGCAGGTTTGGTCCTTTTTTAAATAA